AGGAGCGCTACGGCAGAATTTCAGGCACAGGGATCTGGGGGCGCTGGGCCAGGCTGGAGGGAAGCCACCCTGGGGCTGTGAGAGGGCCTTGCGGGCATATAAGGACCGAGGTCGGGCCACCGGTGCTTCTGCCTTGTCCTGGGGTGGGTGGAGAGAGCAGACTGGCCCCGGGCGTGGAGCTGGGGGTGCAGCAGGAGCAAGATGGGGGGATGAGGTCCTCACAGAGCTCAGTCCAGTGGAGGGACAGAGGACAAATGAGAGAACCGGCCAACAGAGGATGCCAGGCATCAGGGAGGGCCTCCCGAGGAGAGGACACTTCAGCCGAGACCCAAGGTCAAGAGGGAGCCACCACGCAGAGTAGGGACAGCGGCCCAGGCATTGGGCCGAGGGTACAGAAGCCTGTGTGTCGGCAACCCCAGTGCAGCGGCAGCAAAGCAGGGGCCCCAAGTCTTGTGAGGGGGTGTAGGGCCTCGAGGAGTGGCAAGGACACTCCCCACACTTCAGGGGCTCCTTAGGCAGAAGCCTGGGCACCCCATCTTGGTCAGCACCCTCTTGGGTCAGCAACCCTAAGGCTGCTGCGAAAGATTTTCAATCTAAAATAGAACCAGAAGACGTAAAATGGAGAGTCTCACGCATGTGCCCTCAGGGAGACAAAACTTAAAGACCAGGAGACTTGATTTCCCGTAAATGCCGGATTTCCAGAAAACTGATAGCGATGGGATTTTCTTGGATTGGAGGGTTGATCAGAGGTTGTCTCCTAAAACCCTTGGAAAGTTTTGCCAGAGGCAGAATGGAAGATGACCCAGGTCGAGTTGGTCTCACAAACTGGACCAGATGAGCCTTGTTTGTTTTTTTTGTTTGTTTGTTTGTTTTTCTGCGGTACGCGGGCCTCTCACTGTTGTGGCCTCTCCCGTTGAGGAGCACAGGCTCCGGACGCGCGGGCTCACGGGCCCAGCCGCTCCGCAGCATGTGGGATCCTCCCGGACCGGGGCACGAACCCGCGTCCCCTGCATCGGCAGGCGGACTCTCAGCCACTGCGCCACCAGGGAACCCCTGAGCTTTGTTTGTGTGACTAGACTGATCCTGTCTGCTCAAGAAGTTTTTAAGGCTGGTCTCCTTTTGTTTCTGATCTTAACAAACCCTCACTGAACTCTCCCCTCTACAGTCCCTGCCCGTAAATACGACCTGCCCCAAACCCTCCACAGACTCGCTCATAGCTGGCTCCACTTTGCTTGTCCCAAACTGCAAGTCCTCACCTCTTTGAGCTGGCCTCAGTTTACCTCTTTACTGAGGTCAACACAGCTACACCCTCTAGCTGGGCAGGGCTGGGCAGGGCTGGAGAGCAGCAAGCCTGGAACATTCCTCCCAGGAGATGGCGCCTCCATCACCACCGCCTTCTTCAGGGCAGCTAGCACTTACTGAGTGCCGCGGGTGCCAGCCGCTGCGTGAGCTGGCCTTACTCCATTATCCTCAAGGCAACTGGGCAGGAGGAGAGGGGCACAGGGGCTGAGGGACCTGCCTGAGACTCAGCTGGCAGCAGCAGGACTCACACCCACACGCCACCGCTGCGGCTTCTCATTCAGGCTTTCCCGCACAAAGTCTAGGCTGCTGCCTTGAGCCTAGCCCGGGTCCCCTGCACGTCTGCCCCGGCCCCCAGCAGGAGCCCGTGGGCCTGCGTTTGTGGGTCACAGTCCTTCCTGGCTCTGGCATGCGCCCAGACCAGCCACCAGAGCCCCGTGCCCAGGACAGCTGCACCCTCCCAAAACCCCTCTGCCGGCAGCTTCCCCGCCCCACCCCCCCCACCCCGACTCCCCCTGGAACAGTGTGAGCGCCCCCTTCCCCCGTGGCACTCTCAAGGCTGGGCTGCATTGACTTAAAACCGCATTTCAGGGCTTCCCTGGTGGCGCAATGGTTGAGAGTCCGCCTGCCGATGCAGGGGACGCGGGTTCGTGTCCCGGTCTGGGAAGATCCCACATGCCGCGGAGCGGCTGGGCCCGTGAGCCATGGCCGCTGAGCCTGCGCGTCCGGAGCCTGTGCTCCGCAACGGGAGAAGCCACAACAGTGAGAGGCCCGCGTACCGAAAAGAAAAAAAAAAACAAACCCGCATTTCACAAAACCCAGGGTTCCCTGAAAGGCTGAAGGAGCCCCAGAGCCCTTTCCCATCCCCCACCAACTCCAATGGGAACAGATCACCCTGGACAGGGTCCCGTGTCGCGGTCTCCAGTAGCCTGAAGGGGGTCTGGTGCTCTAAAAAGTCGAGAAACCTCTGAGGCCAGGCCTGGACTTCAGGAGCTCTGGCGGCCTGAAGCTCCTTAGGGGACCTGACTCCTGCAGACCCCTGCCAGGGGTCGTCGTCTGCCCATGTGTACTGCCCTCCTGCCCACACCCTCCCTCTCTTCAACTTCTATCCCCACCTTGCCCTTTACTTTTTCCCTAGCCCTGCTGGCCTGGAGCTCAGACAGTGAGGGAGGGCCCCACACCGACTGCACCCACCACTTGGGGGTTTCTGTTTGCTTGCAGTTTGCCAGCTGGGCCTGGCCGTATGGCCTGGGGACACACAGACCCCCGCGCCCGTGGCCACCCCTACCAGCCTGTCACCATATGGGGGGAAGAAGAGCGCCCACCTGAGGCCTATCCCAGAGCCACTCTCTGGCAGGTGCACTAAGTGCTTTAGCTCTGATCTGATCCTTCCATTAGCCCCCATCACCGTCACAGGCGAGGAGAGGGGTTCAGAGTCTGAGTGACCAGCCTGACTCACCCTCTAGGCGGCAGCAGAGTGGCCGACCAGCCCCTGGGCCCTCGCGGTACCCACCACCCCACCCTGATCTCTGCCTGGCACCTCCCTGGAACCCCCAGGCCCACCCTCCCCTCACCTGACCCAGTACCTGCCTCGGGTCCCGGCGTGGCACGCCACAGGTAAGGCAGTGTCCCATCCCGGCGGCTGCACCATGCTTCCCGCCCCCCTCCCGGCCTATATGGCTTGTTTCTCCCTGGAGGCTGTCCCCCACCCCAAGCTGAGCGCAGGCAACACTTAGGTGGCGATGCGGTGAGCCAACTCTGGCCTGGCCTGACACCAGCTCTGCCCTTCATCAGGGCTGGTTTCCTGGCTCCACCTCTTCCCAGCCGGGTGGCCTCACCTCTATCTACGAGGTACAAACACTAACCGAGCGGCAGGGCAAGGCAGCCTCCCGCTGCGGGAGCCGCTCCCCAGAGCCAAGAGCCGAGGAGGTGAGGGCACCCGGCGTTTCCGTGTCACAGGTGAGGGGCCTGTCGGTGCCCTGCACTCAGTAGACCTCGAGCCCAACTCCTCTTGGAGTCTCTGCCTGCTCACTCTCTGGGCAGAAGTTCACCGTGACCTGTGCCCTGACTCCCAAGGCGCTGCTGGGCACATCCAGCGGGACGCGGATGGGACACGGAGGTCCACGCAGAAGAACTCAGAAGCAAACTCGCCCCACTGGTGGGACCCAGTGGCTCAAACAAAGCGGGGGCTGGGGGCGGGGAGAGGAGCTGGGGGACCCGGGTCTGAATCCGACTCTGCCCATTAGGAGAACCTGGGCTGTTCACCTGCACGGGGGCCCAGGTTCTCCGGGAGTGGGAAAAGAGGCTGGCCAGGGATGAGAAATCAGAGGGCTCAGAGCAGACCCCCAAACAGCTACCGTACTGCCTGGCTCCACGTCCAAGTCCACCACTGGCAAGGCATTAGTTCTCTGTGTTAGGAATGGCCCTCTCCGGGGTCCTCCCGAGAGGGTGAAGCCGTAAATCGGGCCCTGGCGCAGAAGGGGGCTGGCCGGCAGAGCTGCCAGCATTCGTGCTGCTGGAGGGTGGGATGCATCAGAGCCCTTTAAACACACTGCCCCACACCCCTGGGACTCCTCCTCCCCCCTCCTCCCCCCTCCTCACAATGCAGCTTAGCCCTCGCCTCCCGGGGGTGCGGCGCTGCGGGGGTGCGGCGCTCCAGGGGCGCCTCCACCCAGCTTGCTCGGGAGAGAAACTTCCTATCGGTCTGTCTGCCTGCCCTGCAGCCCCCCTGTGCCTCAGTGTCTCCCTCTGTCACATAGGATCAGCTCCACCCAGTAGGGTGGCTGGAGGCCCGAGTGAGAGGACACCCCCAAGTAGGGGGACGTCCCAAGGGCCCAGGGGCTGGGTCATCTCTGCAGGGAAAGGGCTGGGAGAGGCGGGGTGGCGTGCGGTGCCGGTGCCGGAAGGGAGAGAAAGCAGGAAGGGAGAGGAGGCCAGGGTCCAGCCGAGGTGGAGCCTAGGCAGCAGGAGGCTGCAGTAATGACTCGGGCAGACTATTACTCATTAATAGAGCTTCTGACTGAAGGACTGAGAAGAACCCGGCTTCTTCCAGTTCATGACAGTAACACACTGCCAGTCCTTCAGCGAATGTGGACGGAGCCCCGCCCCACGCAGGCCTATTGCTCACATCCTTACGGAGCCCACTGAGGCCAGTGGGGAGGAAACCCCCCCAGAGACCCCTGCACCTCGGACTTGCAGCTCCTGGACCACCTCCCAGCCACTCGGCCTTCCAGACCCAAATGACCCGCCCTGGCCCGTCAGGAAGAGAGGGCAGCCAGAGCAGACAAGTCCAGGGGCCGAGGCCAGCCCTGCCCTGCCTCAGTCTCCACATCTGTGGAATGGAAATCAGAGCACCCACACCTCCCAGACTCACAGTGAGGAAAAACAAGGCCAGTCAGGCCGGGGCTGAGCACTTTGTGCCTCTACAAGAACTCATTTCTGGGCCCGGCACGATGTGAGATGCCCCCAGCCCCATCTCTCAGGAGCGAGAGCCCTCAATGACAGAGCAGTGGGGCAGCAGCTCCCTGGAATCCAAACTCCAGGGGAACTGTACTCAAATCCGGCCCCTGCGCCTTCTCGACCCCCTGTGTGATCCTGGGCAGGTCACTCAATATCCCTGGACCTCGGAGTCCCCGTCAACAACGTGGGATCATCCCAGCCCCTCACCTCAGGAGAATTAAACGGGGTAACGCCCAAAGCACCTTGACAGAGACCAGTCCTCTGATCTCCTAGGCTGAGTTCATGCCGGCTCTCCACACAGCCTCACCACGTGCCTGGATGGCCTGGCTGGGGGCGGTGCTAGGCCTGCTGGCACCTCCCTCCAAAATGCCTCTACTCCTCCTCACCGGCCCCGCCTTCCCTTTATTTTCTGTCTTGAAATTCTTAATTTTTGAACAAGGGGCCCTGAATTTTCATCTGGCACTGAGCCCACCAATTCTGTCACTGCGAATCCCCATCAGGCCACATCCCTCTGCGCAAACCCCTCAACACACTCAGAATAAAATGCAAACTCCTTTCTGCACGCACAGGCCCAGTCCCTGCATCTTTGCTGACCTCGCCTCCCTTGTCCACTTGACTCCAGCCACAGTCCCTGCCTTCCCATCCCTTCCACACCCCAGGCTCACCCGTCTCAGGGTCCTCGCACTGGCTGTTCCCTCCTCCTGGAATGCCCTTCCCTCAGATCTCCACATGCCAGCCACCTGCTCAGAGGGGCCTTCCTGACCAGCCAGCTAAAGGGGCCGTCCCCTCCCAGGTCATCTGCTCCACGACACTCCTCACCGCTGAAGCTATCTGTCTCCTTGTTTATGTGTTAGTGGTCTGTCTCCCCCACCCACACCCTGCTCGCTTGGAATGTCAACAACATGAGAGCAGGGTCACCATGGGCCCCAGTCATCGGTCACTGCTACTCCCCACCCCCTAGGACAAAGCCTGGCCCAGAGCAGGAGCTCCATAAACAGCTGTTGAATGAGGATGGAACTCATATGAGAAGTGATGCTAGACCCCTGGTGGCAAGTATCATCTGGTTTGGGGGTGCCTGAGGCAGCAGGCCCGCCAGTGCACAGCCACACCTAGCAGGGCTCCCTCCACTGCTCCAGAGGAAGCCCCCCCAGCCCTGCTGAGATCAGCGCCGTCCTGCCCAGGCAGCCCCAGCAGTGCCAGCCCCTCCTGCCAGGCTCGCCCATCCTCCAGGGACAATGTACAAAGGGCCACTTCAGTTCGGAGCCTCAGCTCCATCTCCAGCCCAGCAGGCCTGAGCGTGGGGGAAGAGAGGGGAGGGCACACCCCACCCCTCCTCTGTCCTCGTGGAGCTTTCTCTAGCACAGGCAGGATGCAGGGTGGGTGACAGAATCAAGCGATAGCTGGAGAGACTTTGTCCCATGTGCTGCCCCCTGGGGGGCAGGGGTAGGTGAGTGCCCACGTGGGGGGCGGAGCGGTGCCCATGCCCAGGGTGGAGGCAGAGGTTGGCCCCCGTGTTCCTAGGCAGTAGGAGTGGAAGGACTCCCACGGGCACCTCCCCACATGTACAGGGCGGCAGGTGGTGGGTACACCTGTGCATGCGGGAGGCCCGAGTGCTGGCTGGGTAAGGGAAGAGAAGAGCAGAGCCAGTGGGATCTGGGCCAGGCTGCAGGGAGGGTGGGGACCTGGGCTTTAGAGTCAGTTCCCATCATGCCTGGGGCCCTCCACTGCAAGACAGGGCGCAAGGGACTTCCCTGGTGGCGCAGTGGTTAAGAATCCGCCTGCCAGTGCAGGGGACACGAGTTCAAGACCTGGTCTGGGGAGATCCCACATGCCGCAGAGCAACTAAGCCCGTGAGCCACAACTACTGAGCCCGCGTGCCACAACTATGAAGCTGGCGCGCCTAGAGCCCGTGCTCCGCAACAAGAGAAGCCACTGCAATGAGAAGCCCGCGCACTGCAATGAAGAGTAGCCCCCGCTCGCCGCAAACAGAGAAAGCCCGTGCGCAGGAACAAAGACCCAATGCAGCCAAAAATCAATCAATCAATCAATATTAAAAAAAGGGGGGGCTTCCCTGGTGGCGCAGTGGTTGAGAGTCCGCCTGCCGATGCAGGGGACACATTTCGTGCCCCAGTCCGGGAGAATCCCACATGCTGTGGAGCGGCTGGGCCCGTGAGCCATGGCCGCTGAGCCTGTGCTCCGCGGCGGGAGAGGCCACAGCAGTGAGAGGCCCGCATACCGCAAAAAAAAAAAAAAAAAAAGGCAGGGCGCAAAGAACTTGCTCAGTTGTTCCAACAACCTGAGCTGATAACCTGTGACCTGAGCCTGGCACCTAGGATGCTTGTACAGCTTCGGGCATTACCAACTTTCCTCCTTCTGGAACCCGTCAGGGGTGTAACCATCCACCTAGCCGCCCACGCCAGGAGCCCAGGAACCACCCTAAAACCTCCCTCACTGACCCCGCATGACTAGGCCTGTCTATTCCATGCCCTGATACCTCACAAGTCCCACCCTTTTCCCTGTGCCACTGTTCCTCACTGGTGGTACCGCCACCAATGCTCACCTGCACAACAGGAGTGGCCTTCCCAAGAGGGCTCCAGCCAGGTGCCTGTAAGCCAAGCAAAAGCCCCATCTGACGCTGCCCCTCCTAGCTTAGAACCAGTGTCCTCAGGATAAAGTCCAGATCTTCCAGGAGGCTCGATGTTTCTGTGTAATCTTACACTCCCTCTCCCCATGCCGGTCTGGGGAGGGTTCAGCTGAACTAGACTTCCTACAGGTCTCCCTGACCCCAGGCTATGGAAAGAGCCGAGCTGTTTCAAACCTGGCCTGCCCCCCACTCCCCTGGTCCCCAGCTCCAGCACAGCACCTGACACAGAGGTTTGCCGAATGAATGAAAGACCTTCCTCCCACATCCACACACCTGCACTTTTCAGTCAATACCGCCGGGCTCTCAGGCCTGGTCTGGGGCCTGGAAAAGTGCCTGCAGGTCCCAGTCCTGCCTGCCACGTGACCTCGGGCTCAGCACGCCCCAGTGAAGCGGCGCATCTACGTGAATTCGAAGGGTCCCTTCCAACGGGCTGGTGGTGCTGAAGGGAACGGTTCCATCCTCGGTGCTCAGCAACGTGACGGCTGACGGTTGGGAGGCAGTACGGGAAGGAAGAAGGTGGAAAATGAAGCAATGGCTTCGAGCAGGCCAGGATCCTCCGCACCAAGGCTCACCGCTGTGTGCTCAGTGCCCAGAGCCAGGCCTGGCCTCAAGCAACCACTGCTGAATGAAGACATGGGCTTGACCTGGCGCTGCCACCCACAGCTCTGTGGCCCCAAGCAAAAGTCCTCCCCTCTCCAGGCCCGTCTGCTGAGCCATTAAAGGGAGGCTGGTAACACCACCTCCATCAGCCTTCAGGAGCACTTCAGAGCAGTGAGACCCGCAAGGAGGGTCAGCTTGGGGCCCCAGGGCCATCGGGGGATCGCAGAGCACACCCACAGCTGGGCAGGAGTGCCCCTCCTCACCCTTCTCCCCGTCCTTCCAGGACGCCATCCTGCCCACCCCCACCCCTGCTGGCCACCGTCCCCACCAGTCTGCACTGGGATGGCCTGACAAGATGGGCACTTCCCAAGAGCAGAGACCTTGGGACACTCATCTTCAGGGTCATGGCCTGGCACCCCCTTGTGGTCACTCAATAAACGCTTGCTGAATGAATTAGCTAGGCATGATCAAGACTGGCACGGTTACACATGGGCACAGACTGAGGGACGCGCGTTCATATGACGGAGGTGCTCCTGCTGTGTGCACGCGCTGGTGACGTGCACACACACACACAAAAATGCACAAAAACAGACACGCTCACACCCTGCAGTCGGCAGATCTGTGCCCTGGCGCCTAGCCCAGCCCCTGGCACATAGTAGGCACCCGGTGATTAAGTGCTGAATGAATGAATGAGTGCTTTGTACCAGGGACAGAGTCAGGGGCCATGGAGGAGTCAGAGATTGAGTCCCCACCCGGCCTCAGGGCTGAGCTGTGATTAGGAATACTATTACCACAGGGGAGAACTTGACCACGTTGCTGGACTGCGGAAAGGCACTTCGAGGCAGGAGTCCGTCAGGAGGGCAGTCAATGGCGATGCACACCCACTGGGCACAGGGGTGTGGGGGTAAAGCCAACAGCTCTGGGGTCACCCCTGGCTGGAAGGGGCAGGAATGGCTTCCTGGGTGGGTGGCAGCACCTGGGGTGGAGTGGGTTGGCTTTCCAGGTGGAGGGTCCAGCATAGCAACAGCCCCGAGGCTGGAAAGTGGGGTACATGGGAGAAGAGGAGCGAAGGCCGCACTGGCGCCATAGGAAGTCAGGGGTTGGGACGGAATTCTCGGGGCGCTGCATCCCAGTAGCCCCAGGCCTGGACTCTCACTGACCCGATTTCCAGGAATGAGAGAGACGCAAGCTGTTTGCCACGGGTGCACCTGTTCTGGGGCATGTGCCTGGGACGGGCCAACTCCCACCCTGAGACTCCACAGCCAGTCCCCCTGGAGGCTGCCCACAAGCAGTGACCCCAGAATCCAAAATATGGGGAGGTGGCTGTTCTCACGGCACCTTTTCTTTTTTTTTTAATTTAAGTTAGTTAATTTATTTATTTTTGGCTGCATTAGGTCTTCATTGCTGTGCGCGGGCTTTCTCTAGTTGTGGCGAGCGGGGGCTACTCTTTGTTGCGGTGCGCAGGCTTCTCATTGCAGTGGCTTCTCTCGTTGCAGATCATGGGCTCTAGGTGCATGGGCTTCAGTAGTTGTGGCACGTGGGCTCAGTAGTTGTGGCGTACAGGCTTAGTTGCTCTGTGGCATGTGGTATCTTCCCGGACCAGGGCTCGAACCCATGTCCCCTGCATTGGCAGGCGGATTCTTAACCACTGCACCACCAGGGAAGCCCATGACACCTTTTCTTACCTCTCTCTTTTAGAATATTACTCCATCTCTCTGGTTATAAAGGTTTCTCATACATTCTAGGGAATCTGGACGTCACAGCGAAAGAAACAGGATGATACCACCCACCATCCCACCACCCCCTGGGCTAACATTTTGGCTTAAGTTCTTACGGAGTTTTTTCCTGTGCACATTTTTGCTGGAATGAGCTATTGACATGGATTTCCTGCCAGCTTTGGGGCAACACACATTTTTCCTAAGGAGCTTTGTCTCCCACACCGGAGGACCAGAGGGCAGACCTGAGCCCTGGGGACGCTGCTCTCCTTGACTCCTTCTCATCCACTCCCTAACCTGGACCCCACTGAGAAACACCCCTCGGGTGTGGGGTGCAGCCCCACAGTTCTGGGCTCTCCTCCTACAGACCACAAAGGTCTGGGTCAGTGCCAAGCACCCCGGGATCCAATCTTCCCTCTGGGAAATGAGCCGGTTCAGCTCCCCAGTGGCCCCAAGCTCCCCAGTATGGCCCCCTCTCTGGACTGAGGTGACAGTCACCGACTGGGCTGCACTTTCCAGTTGCCTTCAGGAGCTGCGCCGGGAGGTCCCTTGGTCTTTCCCAGAATCCCCTCCCTTTGCCACCTAGACACAAGGAACAGCAAAGCAACCCCACTGCTGTCCCTGGTGACCTGCACACGAATCCCCTGACCCAGTCCTCTCTGTTCACTCCACTGGCATCCCCCAGACCCTCGATAGACCTGTCCTGCACACGGGTCTCATCCCATGGGGACGGACAGGCAGAAATCCCCAGCGAGGAGGATCAGCCTTGCCATTGGGGTAGGGGTGTGGCGTGGCTTCCTGAAGGAGTCTTAAAGGATGGGTCAGGAGAGGAGGGGAAGGGCATTCTGGACAGAGGGACAGCAGCAGAAAAGGCTTGAGAGGAAAGCTGGAAGCTGGATTTCTAGTCTGGGTGGGGGAGCTGGTGCATCGCCCCTGAGGTATTGAAATGAAATCACGCAAGAAAGCACCAGCATCTCGTTCCTATTTCTGCCATAAATATGAGTTACGACCATTAACATTCACAGTCCTGGGCGATGGGTCGAGAAGGCACCTTCTCTATCTTTCACCTAAACCAGCCAATCTGCCTTGCTTCCGGAAGTGGCCCTCACCTTCCACTCTCAAAATTACCATTCAACAAGTACTAAATAAATACTTCTCGGGCTCCCCTGGTGGCACAGTGGTTAAGAATCTGCCTGACAATGCAGGGGAGAAGGGTTCAAGCCCTGGTCCAGGAAGTTCCCACATGCCACGGAGCAAGGAAGCCCATGCGCCACAACTACTGAGCCTGTGCTCTAGAGCCCGCGAGCCACAACTACGGAAGCCCACGTGCCACAACTACGGAAGCCCGCGCGCCTAGAGCCCGTGCTCCGCAACGAGAGAAGCCACCGCAATGAGAAGCCCACGCACAGCAACGAAGAGTAGCTCCCACTCGCTGCAACTAGAGAAAGCCCGCGCGCAGCAATGAAGACCCAACGCAGCCAAAAATAAATTAAATAAATAAATAAATTAAAAAAAAAAAAAAAGAAATGCTTCTCGTGTGCCTCCTCTGTGTGAGGCATGGTGCCAGCCCCCAGAGAGTGCCTGTGTGCCCAGCCCAGGAACGAGTCCCCCGCCTTAATGGGCAGCTCTCCCTGGTCCCCCTTCCCTGGCCACCACGGTTCACCCAGACTGTGTGCTGGTCCCCAGTAACAAGAGGAGAGTGGTGACGAGGGATTTGTCCAAAGTACTAAGCAAGCTCTGGGGTTCCACAGCCAGCCCAGGACCTGTTCCCTGGAGGAAGCGGCAGTAGCAGGTGCTGGGATAAGAGCAATGGGCAGGGGGAGGGG